AACAGCCGTGCTTGACCATTCACATTCTTTCTACAGCGGCACAGACGGCGGCCTTTACGCCGAGACGATCCGCAACAGGGCCTTCCAAGACAATGTCAACAACGCCGCCAACACCAACAACGCCCTCGGCAGGGGTTCCCTCCTTCATTGGACCGGTACCTCCAAGGGTACTAAGCTCACCCTCTCCCTCGACAACTCGCTCTCGGCAGCGTTGCCCCAGTCGGCTATCGTAACAGGCCAGAAGACCGACTCTTGTGGCATCGCCAATTCGGGCTTCGAGGGCTTCAGTGTCACCAAGCAACCTTACAAGCTCGCCTTTTACGCTCGTTCTCCTACTGGCAAGCCCACCACCGTCCCAGTGGAGGTCGGACTCTACTCGAGCGACTCCTCCAAGACCTTCGCCAAGCAAACACTCCCATTGAAGCTTTCAGGAGAATGGCAGAAGTTCGAGACCACTTTGACACCGTCACAGGCGGCCAGCAACAACAACAACGTCTTTGCTATCAAGACGCAAGGCGCTTGCAACGACGGCTTCCAGCTCAACCTCGTCTCGCTCACGCCACCCACGTGGCAAGGCACCGTGGCGAGGCCAGACTTGGCGCAGGCACTTGCCGACATCAAGCCCAAGTATGTTCGCTTGCCTGGCGGCAACGACCTCGAGGGCAACAACATCCCATCTTGGTTCAACTGGACCAACGCTGTTGGCGATCTCAAAAACCGCCCCGGCCGAACCCCGACCTGGACTTCCGACTGGAACACAGAGGGCCTCGGGCTGATGGAGCTCATGAACCTAACAGAGAAATGGGGTGCTCAGGCGGTTTTGGGCATCTACGCCGGTTACTCGCTGGACGGCAAGGCGGTCCCGCAGAACCAGCTCGGCCCTTACATCCAGTCGGCGCTCAACCAGCTCCATTTCCTCCTTGATACCACCGGTCGCTGGGCCGATCTGCGAAAGTCGTACGGCCGCGCAGCTCCTTACAAGTTCCAACATGTTGAGATCGGCAACGAGGACTGGCTCGGAGCGGCCGTACAGACCTACGGACCATACCGTTGGGCCGCCTTCCGCGATGCCATCGCCAAAGAGTTCCCCCAGCTAACTCTCATCGCATCCACGCTACTCAATGGCGTCGAGGGCGCCAAGGCTGTAGACAACCACTTTTACGCTACGCCTTCCCAGCTCTTCGCCTTTGCAGAGGGCATGGACGCTACGTCAAGAGCGATTCCTATCTGGGAGCTCGAATACGCTGTGATTAACAATGGTTTGACGAATGACTCGGACATCTACTCTGGGCCTGGCCGTTTGAAGCATCCGACGCTGATCGGTGCTTTGGCCGAGGCGACGTTCCTTGCCGGCGCCGAGCGCAACGGGGACATCTTCTACAGTGCTGCCTACGCGCCGCTCTTCCAGAATGAGGGCACCAATCTGACACAGTGGACGCCGGACCTGCTGAGCTTCAACGCTGGCCAGATGGTCAAGTCGACTTCGTACTACATTCAGTATGCCTGGGGCAATTATCCGATCGAGCAGATCCACGATACGAGCCTGTCGACGCCTACGAACTCCTCGCACATCTACCATTCCTTCGGTTCCGACGGTCAAGGCCATCTCGTTGCCAAACTGATCAACACCAACGCAGGGGCTCGAGACGTCAAGGTGCAGTTGGGCAGCGGTGCCAAGCTGTCAGCCAACGGGGCCAAGAGCTGGCAGATGAAGGGCAACGACCCGCAGGCCGCCAACACGCTCAGCAACCCACAGGCTGTTGTTCCGCAGAGCAGCTCGAACGAATTGCCACCAGGCGCCCAGCTCACGGGCGACGGATCTCTGACAGTGACGCTTCCAGCCTACTCGGCTACGGTGCTTAACCTTGCGCTTGCGTGATTGTTGCCAGCTTTTGCTCTTTCGTCTTCTTTCTACGAATCAAACTCCCTTTTGCTCATGAGATGCCAAATCGAATTCAAATCTTGACCATTTGATTCGGGACGATGACATCCGAACAAGAAGCGAAGGCCTGCCCTAGACGTGAAAAGGGTTTGCGGGCTTGTCGCGAGGCAGACTGCGCTCGACATGATTCTTGAGCTACCTTGAAGTCAAAGCGAGGTGAGGCGAGGCGCGGTAACCATCAGACAATGCATTGCATCCGCGATGAAAGCCACAGAGGAACATCATTGGCTCCAGCTCGACGTGGGCGGAGGGATGAGATGCAGCCGATTGTGTTGTGTGGCATTTTATGCAAGCGGTGCATTAGCGTATTCGCGTCTGGAATTCCAGCGACGACCAGAGTGCAGTGGACCGGACTGTGCGTGGAACGAAACGAACCCACAGATGATGCGTGATGGCCAAGTGCGGCTCCGCGAACAGTCTGCGGACCAGCACTCCTGGCACGAGCGGTGGTTACCGCGCTCTCAACCGGAGCTTATCTGATTGGATCACATCTGATAAAAAAACGCGAAAATCGCATCTGCAGCTTTGATGCAGCCACGTCCGACATTGCAGACACTCACGAGACACCTACGACCTGCCCCCCCCCCCTCCCCCC